TATAAACCAACAAAGATGTGAAGCCAACAGACGTGTAAACGTATTTTCATTTAACAATCTTCATTTATTCATTTTTAAATAATTTTTAAATATTCAAAGTATTTCATCTCTAAAGGGTTGCCAGCTCATGTCTGGCTAAAAGTTACGTGTTCTTACTTAAATATTATGGTTCTTCTTATGGGCTAAAACAACAACAATTAATCACATGGAGATGTTGAGAAACAACACTCGTGATTGACAGCTAAAAACAAACCAAAAATAGCCTAAAAAAAAACAAGCGCTCAATTTTTAGGGCAACTCCAAGATTAATTTGTATTTTATCTGCCCTTCAATAACACCATATAAACAACATGGATTGCGCTTACTTGAGAAAAACACATTCTCCGCTGCTGCATGTCAAATCCCTTCCGGAAAAAAACAGTAAAACCTGCACCAACCAACTCCATGATCATCTCAGAGATAAGTCTATCACAGCAGAGTTTCCACCAAGCTGTGCATCTGTTGTTGCAGCACATGTCTGTTGCCCACTCAGACATCTGAAGTTACATGTGTCATTTCAGACACTGGCTGCCACTTCATTTAAATCAATCTGTATTTGCTGGAAGTGCCTGTAAATAAACAACGCTGCACCATCTGTCAGCGAGAAACTACACAGGTTGGACTTCAAACTAAATGTTCAGACGGTGAGACAGTGAAAGGTCTCCGTCTGAACAACAGTGTTCCTTATGTTAACACACAGACACACAAAAAACAGTAACTCAGACAGGCGCTAGTTTTATTTACGGCTAAATTTGACTCACTGCTGATGCGTAGACTCAACAACAATTAGTGGCCACTACTATTTTCAACTCAAATTGCACCAAAAACAACAGGAAACAGGGGTGGCTCACAGAAAGGTGTTTCCACACCACTCTCACATGTCAAAATGTCAGTTACAGCCTGATTAGCCCCCAGTCTACAACGGTATTATTCAATCTCCCAGCATGCAACTACACCATGAACCACCCTTGAACAAAAACACACACTGTGCAAATAAGTTTTTTAATCGATTTTTCGTATGCTAATCCTTTTTACTTTAGCAGTTTATGATGTGACTTTAAATGACTGGCTAATTTTTGACCATTAATTAATTCACATTTTGATTTATTTTCAACCACGTTTGCAACTTATAGTAACTTATTGGTAATTTTACACTAATGACTAAATATTCTTGGCAAATCTTTAAGTTTTTGACTATTTTATTAAAGTATTTTGCAACTATTTGGCTATTTATGGGTTATTACAGCTAACCTTTAGCCTTTTTTTAAACTTAAAATTTACAGGTCATTTGAGTTTCATTTATCTAACCTGTAGTTCTGCAAAACCTTTGATGGCCGTGGATGTAATGGGCAATTAATATTGTAATAACATGAAAAACGTTTTATGATACCATTAAAACCTCTGTCAGGAGGATTTCAAGGGCAGCCTCCAATACGTCAAGGTCATTTTCCTGGCTAATCCCTGACCTTACTGGTATGACCATCAATAACCATTAATGCTGAAAAATGTTGTACAACAAGTGTGTTAAAGTGAAGCATAAAACATGATTTAGACTTTAGAAAAAAAAAAAGGGCGAGCGGACTCATTTGCACCTCCAAAGAAAGGCAGCCTTCAGTGAATGTGGCCCCTATGCCAAAATCATGATGAGTGCGTTTGTCATAAAAATGTGGTGCATCTGGTTCATTGCAATCCACCGAGGGCTTTCACAACACACACCACATTATTTCCACACAGACCCAGCCATTGTCAGGTCAGTGCTGAACAACAACTGAGGTCATGGCCTCCTTTTTCAGGGTGTTCATGTAATATAGAATAGAAATAGAATAGACTTGAGGGCGGGATTTGTTTGCAGAGATATTAACAAGTATATATATATATATATATATATATATATATATATATACACATATATACATATGTATATGTATATATATATTAACAAAATAACTCAATATCTGCACTGAATCGGTTGACTGATGATTGTAGCATCTTTAAAACCCTGGCCACAGCCACAAGACCATATAAGGGTTTCGAATTTTCAGAAATCAAGAGGAAGTCGAGGCAATCGGCAGTTCCAGTAATAACCTTTCCGTCACCTAAAAAAAAACCAAAAAAAAAAAAAAACAGCCTTTTGTGAAAAAAAGTTACTCTTTTGGTCTGAGGGGGAACTAGAATGTGAAATAAAACTGTTTTGTAAAGGCTGGAAGAATTTATCCATTCAGTTTGATAAAAATGGAGAAGTTAAATAAAAAAAAAAGATCAAAGCACAGACAAAGCTGCATTTGCAGCGTCCGTTAGCAAAGGTCATGTAATAACATAACATACATTTATTTATTTTATTTTATGGTCTGTATTGTCATTGCACCATGGGGATACAAACGAAACTTAGGCTCATCTTTTAACCCATCACCAACGTGAGCAGTGGGCAGCTTTTTTTAAGCGCCCAGGGAGCAGTGTGTAACAACAACAACACACACCTTAGGAAATTCCCCATTTGTTAGGCATCAAATGTATACATAAATCATCATCAAAGCCTGGTAGATTCTGATAGGCCGATGCTAAAGCACTGGACGCTTCAAGAAGTTAGGAGAGGGTGAGATCAGAATTTGGTTTCAGAATACACTATAAAGTGACCCTAAATATTCCTGTGCAAAGCAGTGGCAACATAGTCCACAGCCTGTCTACGTTGACCTACATTATCCTGTACAGTGGGCACATGCTCCAGAGACCTGGAGCAGACTGGCCTGCACTGGCTCCAAGGCAAAGGTCTGAAAATGCAGACAAAAGAGTTGCAGCTAAATTCACACAGGGACTGCATGTTAAACACAGCGGCTGACGATGAGGCCTGTGTTCCTGGAGGGCGGAACCGCAGCTCCGTTTGCTTCCTTTGAATATGTGCCACAACCTGCCACCTCCAGGGACCGAGGCACACTCAGGAGGAATGTTAAACGGTCCTTCCCTTTGAGAAGAAATGTTCTGGATGAATCATTGATGACACCCCCACCGTACAACCTGCAAATCTGAAACCCTGCAGCTATGATAACACAGTCTCACAAATGTTAGGCTTTCATTAAGAGCATCTCTGTTAATGAGCGCCATCGTTGGGGCAGACCGGTCCAACGACATCAATCACAGTGAGACGGGCCCATGCCCGAGCTGAGGCCAACACGCTGGCGTTGCATTCAGACAACAGCCTGACAATTAACTTGTTGGCCAAACAAAACTCTTCACATGGAAAATATTAACCTAAAAGTGACTGATAAATTTGTCCTTCTATACCAGTTTTGGTTTCTTGCACATTGTGTACATTTATGAGGAAAATCCTACCAAAATTCACCATACTAGCCTCATGGTGATTGACTACTGACCCCCTGACCTTTAACATTAGCCTAATCAAACAGATGCATGTACACAGGGAGGGATAGGCTCTCCTGCATCTTCTTTAAAGAGTCTAGGGTTAGTTTAAATTAAAGAATAATCTTTCTCTCCAAATTTATACTTTCCCTGAATGAAACGCTAAGATGTTTCTTAGAATTTCAGAGTGAAACTCAGCATTAGAGATAATTTTATGTAGCTACACTAACCATAAACAAAATTCATTGAACATTTTTATTCATTCATTCATTCACATCCAATCCCTTACCTAAACAACGTTCCACTGCACAGCCCGGGAATCGATTATACATAATGCGTAAACTAGTCGACCAGTAATTCTATTTGTTGAAGATGTTTTCAGCAGTGTCTGAGCTTTATTCATAAGAAGCACAAAGTAATATCGTAGACTGGTAACACAATCTTATTGGTCCGTCTGTTCCATCTCGCTCTTATGTGTTACTTTAGAAAAGACATGGAATCTTCAACCATTATATTACGACAGCAGCCCATGTGGGTTATAAAGCAAGTGCAAACATAGACTGACTTTGTCCACACAGTCCTGAATCTTACATCCAAACAACAGAGTCAGAGGGAGACAGACGAGGGTTGGTGAGAGTTG